ACGGGAGAAATACGGGAAAATACCTTTACAGGATGATAATAGGATTGAATTGTAACATACAGGAGAATCCCGGGAAAAACAGGAGGGTTGACAGGTATGCAACTACCTACTAGTGTTGCGAAAGTTCCCCTTAAGAGAACAAGGGAAGGGAATTTTGTGAGTGTGTTTCTAAAAGTGGACTGGAACCCAGCCAGTGTTGTCTACGTGAAGTAGTATGAAGTATAGATCAGGCTTTAGTCACCTGTGGTGTTTTCATTGCATGCTTTTGTCATGTGTTATATGTAGTCCTTATATTCCTCTTGTCTTATTCTAGCAATCTGTAATGTCTAATGTTGGTGATTCTTATGGTCAAGTTTCATGCTTAGGTAATGAAGCTGCACTTACAGTGGACATGCAAATATTCTGTAGAAAGTGTAATCTATAGAAAGTGCAGAAGGCAACTAGTTCAAGACCTGAGGAGCATCGAAAAATACAGCAACCATAAGTTAAGGGGGGATGGACATTTGGCTGTATTAATCAGCCTGTCGGAGCTGAAGATTTATGCCGGTGAAGGTGTCGACAGGCAACTGATACATGATCACATTAAAGCAGCCAGCCAGCTTAATCAATCCGAGCCCGCTAAGGGACAATCTCTCAAAAACCTGGAACGGATGGCCAAGTATGCAACTGTGAAGGCCAGCTCTTTTTTTTTTTAAGGGTTGTCAGATTTGGACGTTTTGCCATCCTATTGGACCTTCGCTTAGGACAGTGAGCTGGAGACAATGACACTGAGTGCTTGAAAACGTATCATTAGTGCCAGACTGTCAGCGTTTGGCCCGGTGAGCGGCAATTCAAGCTATTTTTTGGCTCAGATGAGATACACATCGTCAGGCGCCATTGAACACCCAGTACCAAGTGGGGAAATACGGACAGATTCTAATAGGATTCAATTGGTCTTTTTTTTTCTTTCCCTGTGTGCCGTCAGAGCGTGACTCAGCTATATTAAGGCTGCATCTGTAAGAGCTGTTAGGTAACATCATAATCTGGGAATCTTTGCGAATGTGGTTAAAATAGTGCGCTTGAAGGTCATGGCTTGAAGACGCATTCGCAGTCCATTCTCTTTGACAATACAAGACTCTTAATAGGACAGCAGTTACATTTGACCTAAAGGCACGGCAGCTAAATGGACACTCCTAGAAATGCTGCTAATGGCATCCTAGAGGATTTTAATAGCCGTAATTTCCTGAACAACAAGATTATTTGTATTGTACCAAAGACTTGATGAGTAAATCCAGCGCAATTATCTGTCCGTTTATGAGGATCTTTAATATGATGTTGTTCAGTGGCCTGTTTTTGACACAGTTTCTCGAAAAACCTTTGGATGCTGCTGTGACATGCTATTGTAATGGCAAAAGGACATAATGTCATGTTATTGCACTGTTATCGTGGCTGACTAAACCATTAAGTTTATTTTTCCCCTTAAAATGAAATAAATATTAAGTGAAAGTAAAAAAAGAAAACGATGACCTGGTTGCCAAGGCAATATTTCTCATTAAGATGATATAATAAAACTGATGTAAAAACTATATTTATTTTAAATAATGAAATGACAAAAATACTGAGTAAATATTTTTGAAAATTAAAAAGAAAAATGGAAAACAGAGAGAATCCAAATATAAAAGCTGATTCAAATGATTTATAAAAAACTAAAATGATGTATCGATGGTATTAAAACCGAATGTTAATTAAAGACATTAACCAGCAGGCACACAACGTCATAAGATATTAATATTAGGTTAGATTTAGGTCAGGACGTCCGGTGAGGAGTATTTAATGCTTAGCCAGCGATGTCAAATGATGTTGATATTTGGTTGATTTCAGGTTGTGTTGGAAAGTGACCAAAATCCAACGTCATATTGAACTTCAAATACTAACACTTATTTATCAGGTATGGCAACCAAACATATGATAGACGTCACAGTGGTATCGTCCACACAATGTCAATCTGTAACATCATTAGACTTTGATATTTGGTTGGTTTTAGGTTGTGTTTTAAAGTGACCAATATCCAATGTCGAGTCAACATCTTAAACCAACATCATATTCGTCAGGTATGGCAACCAAAATTCAATGCCTGATAGTTGTCATAGTGGTACTGTCCAAACAATATCAAGCTGTAACATCATTAGACGCTGATATTTGGTTGATTTTAGGTTGGACATTGGACATTGACGTCGGCCTGGCGTTGGGTTCTGAAGTTAACCTGATTTTCATTTCTAGATAAAATGCAACGTCCCCCACAACGTTGGGGAACAATGTCAATTTGACATCATGTTGACGTACTGTATCTGCTGCTGGGTATAAAGCAGTATTTAAATAAATAATAAACCCAAACTTAAGCCATAAACATCTTGGTTACACGAACAAACAAGAACAAAAAACCTTAACAAAACATTAATTCTGTCGGCGCCAATAGCCTAGTGGTTAGTGCGTCAACACATAGCATCGAGGTGCTCGCAGCGACCCGAGTTCGATTCCCGTCTCGAGGTCCTTTGCTGATCCATCCCCTATCTCTGCTCCCCACACTTTTCTGTCTCTATATCTCCACTGTCCTATCAAAAATAATAATATAATAATATATTATATTATAATAATAATATAATATATATTATAATAATATAAAATAATTGTTGTGCAGGCGGAGAAGCGGTGGCTCAGTTGTTAGAGCTGTCGCCTCACAGCAAGAAGGTTCTCCCTTTGTTCGTGTGGGTTTTCTCCAAGTGCTGCAGTATTCCTTACAGTCTAAAAACATATGATATAGGTGAATAAACTAAATTGGCTGTATTGTATGTGTATGTATGTTTCCCAGTACTGGGTTGCGTGTGGAAGGGCTGGATAAGTTGGTGGTTCATTCCGCTGAGGTGACCACTGATGAATAAAGAAATTAAGCCGAAGAAAAATGAATAAATGTTGGGGAGGCAATATTTAATATATTTATTTAGCTTAGCTTGATGTACTGATTAGAATGTTGCTGGTTAGAGCCTGATAGGTCAGTTGGCATTTCTGTGTGGAGTTTGCATGTTCTCCCCGTGTTCACATGGGTTTCCTTCGGGTGCGTGGGTTTCCCCCACAAGTCCAAAGACATGCACTTAGGTGAATTAGGTAAGCTAAATTTGCCGTAGTGTATGTGTGTGAAAAAGTGTGTATGGGTGTTTCACAGTGATGGGTTGCAGCTGGAAGGGCATCCGCTGTGTAAAACATATGCTGGATAAGTTGGCGGTTCATTCCACTGAGGCAACCCCAGATTAATAAGGGACTAAGCTGAAAAGAAAATGAATGGATGAATGATTTACTGATATTGAAATATACATCAGCAAAAAAAAAAAAAAATTAAAGACAAATTTAGCAACACAAAAACGAACAAAATTGGGATTAAAAATTCCACTTTCTGCAAACTAAAACACTGCACTTATTCAACATCTTTAAACGAGAAACTGAATCAATGAGTCTCTGAACTCAGAAACCAGATCGATGTAATTTGCAAATGAAGCAGTCAGGGGAAGAGTGTTTTTTTGGACCAAACTTTTAGGCATTTAAAATTAGCAAAACTAAGCACTTTTGAAATTCTCCCTTTAACTCTTTAAAATACCCAATTGGATGTTGTTTTAGTAGGTGCCATCTTGGAAATAGGCAAATGTAGCTTCCCACCACGTCCAATTCCAGTGGTTGTTTTCAAGATGGGAGATTTCCAAGCTCTGAGAAGACTCTAATCAAACACCTGCAACAGCTAATCAAGGTCTTTGGGTTCAGTTGAAAATTACAGCAGGTGTGCTGGAGCTGAACGGTGGAGAAACGCAGACCTCCAGATGCAGGTATACGACTGAGTGTCCCAGATATTTATAATGGACTTTCCATTTAAATTATTCACACTTTAAAAAGCTTAAAAGACCACCTTCAAACAAAATGTTGTGGCTTTTAGTCCATGTTTTTTTATTAGCCATGAGGTTAATATGCTAATGCACTCCTAGCGGTTAACACAATTAGCATTTAGCAGATATATACACATTTAAAAGTCTGTCTCTTTATGTCAGTCTGTCTCTCCGGGGAAAAAAAAGCACCAAATATATTGATGACTCATGTTGCACTCCGCAGACTTCAAGCAAATGCACTCTCAAATGAGAATATTCAGTAGGAAGCATTTCCTCGGGTATTTAAAGGCTTAGCTAACTCATAAAATGCGTTTTTTCTTCAGCAGGATGTTATTAAGAATTTTATTTTTTCTGGAAACTAGTCTTTGGTTGATTCATAAAATAAAAGTCAGTGTGTTGTAACTTTTTGAGAGTCAAAAAACCCCCAAAACACACAGGCAAAACTAAATTAATACCTGGGATACATTGAAGTTTTATGAATGTAAACAAGTTTCACCATTTGACGAGTGGATTAAAGTGAAATCGTTGTTCAGTTTCTTGCAAACACCAATCGTTTCACTTTGTAAGATCCAAGTTAGGGATGACAACAATTAATCAACTATTGATTAAATGTCAGAAATCCTTTCAATCGATGCTCTTTTTGCGTATGTGACTAACATGCAAAGCGTACAACAGATGTGAGGAAAAAACAAAGCGAGGACACTAAAGTTTATTACAGACTCTCTGGTTTATACTTGGAGAAACAGAACAGATGATCAGCTTACCATCCAGGGTTTGGTTGTGTTTCATTGTGGACAGCATAACGAGACTCGTTAATTATCTGAAATTGATCAGTATATCATCTAACTCAACTGGTGCATGTAGCTTGTAAACACATAATAAATAAATATTGATGTTATATCCATGTGAGGTAAAGACTGGTGAGGTGGTCCATTAACTAAAAGGCACAAGCCACTAACATGTCATTAATATTCATGAGTAAACTTTAGCATTTAAATTGTTTTTTTTCTTAATATTCACATCCTATGCACATTTAGGATGATACCATATGCTTATAGTAAAATAGGAATGAAAAAGAAAATGTTCACACTCATGTAACCGTATATCAGAAATGGCACTATTGACACGTTGTATATTAGCCAGTACATTTAATGATTAAACACTTCAACTAAATTACCAATCATTGATTCTTTTAACAATCCTATTTACAGTAAAAACATTTCTTGTGAGAATGCTTGTGTTTCGAGTCATTTGCCCATCCTGTCATGGCAGTTATAATGTGCCTGAGGCAGACATGTCTCACATTTTAAGGTTAATGAATAATCAATTAATGGATAGTTAAATTAAACAACGATTGATCAGGGAAATGTGTGGAAATGGACGTCCCCAATGTCAGTGTATCGTCAGGGATCCTTAGGTATTGATTTTGTTTTGTCCTATATGTCGTTTTGACTCTTAAAGCAGCAGTAGACTTCTGAATCACCAAAGACGACACTTTCATTTTATTTTACTTAACATCCTAAGTAAAACATTAAAGTAAACTGTGAACTACCCCTTAATTAAAGTGCACACAGGCTGCATACTCCAAACTTAACAGCACGTCAAGCCTTTTTTCTACGCCAGTCAAGACATTATAAGGCAACAATGTTTACCTTGTCGAACTTCCAGTTAAAACTACAAACATATAGTCAAGCAACAGTTTGCTCATAATCGAAGGGACGCTGGATTTCATTTGACAGAGAATCTCCCGCGCTCTGCATGCTAATGAGCGCGCGCGTAATTGCGCAGATCAGTCAATAGATGGCAGAGCGAGGTCACTGATTAGTATGCAGGCCATTCCCAGAGGAGAAGAGCACTGAATTCATCAGCCCTGTCCTTCATTCCTCCTTATTTCAATAAATCGCCTTGTTTTTGACAGTCAATCAGCCACACTTATGAGCGCCCGTGTAAACATGAAGACAGCCAGGCAATATGTAGTTAAAATAGATTAACGTACAAGTTGAGATTCAGAAAGAACGACTAGAACACGTAAAAAGCCAAGCCGTCTGATTTATATTGTCTGACAATTTTTCCTGTGTGGGAAATTAACTTTTTTTTCTTATCACTGAACAGTCGCCCCCTGAAATTGAATTTCTGAAGCATTTCTTTTCATCATTCACCCTTTATGAGGGCATTTTTTTAAACCACACGAAACAGTGTGTCGTCTATTTGTCATGAAAGCAATTAATCGAAATAAATTGTCGAGTATTACAATGACAAAGGGAAAAACGCTCGGATACAATGTGTTTCACACGAACAGTCGAAGTTTGTTAGATTATACAGTTGTTCACAATCAGAATATCTGATTATATACACTATTCGAAATCAAAACAGTGCTGTATAGAACGCTATACATTGTACATAATCAAACATTTACCTCAGGGGCATTTCCCATCCTCAAAACAGCCACAACCACACAATCATTTTAACCCAGAAACCCAGATATATGTTATATCCGTGCTGATATCTCACAATCCACAAGTTTTAAACTTCAATAGTCTTCCATTCCTTCTAAAGGCGTGACGCGCAGATGACATCACGAGCACAGCTCGCGCTCACGGAGCTCGCGATCGAACAGAACAAGTGAGCGAGCAGGAGGAATCAGCTGCACATCACGAGCACAATAACATACCTGTACACACACTCTCACACACACACTCACAGCTCTCCCGAGCACTTGAAGAGGACCGTAGATTGAGATTCCCATCTGACGCGCCTCGGCAGACCGCCTCGCAAAGTGAAAGAGATTTTATGCGAAAGTTTCCAGGATTGGTTTAACCTCCCGCGGACACGAGCGGAATGAGCGACTTTACGATGATAAACTGTTGCCTGGTTCTGGCCGCGTGTCTTCTGTCCAGCCAAGGTAATGTGACACACTAACTTGTGGGTCAGTGTTTTTTCCTATATTCATGGCTCTACCGGATATTGGTGTTTAGATCTAGAAGCGATTTGCAGGATGTTTACCTCACAACATGAAGTCGCCCGTCCCGAGTGTATTGATACGCAAGTTGCACGCCCGCGCTATTACGCTGCTTCCCGCATCCACAGCTTACCTGCTTATCTGGGTTATCCTGGTCAACTTAATGAGAGCCGCTGACCGTATAACCCGGTCTCCATGTTACGCAAGGTGTGGCCTGTCGTGATCAGTTTCTTCTTCTTCTACACGCAGCAGGTGTAATTGCACGTAATCACCTAGTTCATTAACAGTTTTAAACTTTTATGTGTATTAAATATCCTATGCCATGAGGTATAATGCATATCAGAGAATGGGAATGCAACAGGGTGCAGTTGTTAAAGGTTTATGACAGGTCTATTTGCTGAATGTAACTCCTCCAAAAATGATGTCTGAATTTTTTACGCGGGTCTTCTGCTATTTTGAGATACCACTGTTATAAAATTGCATTTTAAGTTGCCGTTCCCCTTATTTGCCACAGTAGTCTCGCTTGTGGTGATGGTCCTAGACATTTCTTCCCTGGTGGTTTGAACATCACAGTGATTTGATGGCGTCTCAGAGGGGCTGGTTTCCTCTGATAAGGAGAGACATGTCTGCGCTGCTGCGTATAAGCCAGGGCTACACTGCAGGACTGGAGCTCTGCACTTATTTAAGGGCTCAAGTTTCTTGTTGTGTGTTGTGTTAAGCACACACTACATTGACAGCTCAGTTGTCAGCTAGATCATTGTTTAGCACTGTAGTTATGATTGCATTTTTCGTACAAAGTTGTGCCTAAATATAAAATGCAGGAGAGTTTTTTTTTAATATTTGCACACAACGGGCAAACATAATTTCTAAAGGCTATAACTATAAAGCATAACTAAGAAAAAAATATATAAATATACAGTGATTGGTATAATTTAATACACCATTTTGAAAATTAATATTTTTATTCATTTCTTAGTTAATATGGGTAATATAAGTTGGTGAATTTGAACAAAACTGATTTATTAAACAGATATATGTATTAAAATAATATTTTAGTCACAGAACATATTTAGAAATGGAAAGATAATGCATTTAAATTCATGCAAAATGTTGCAAAGAAAAATAGCAAACTACAACATTTCAACAAAAGTGTATATATTTGTAGTTTTTCTCGATTTTTGCTATTTTTAACTTTTTTTATTTTATATTTTTCCCTTACATATAAATTTGGGTGTATTAATTTTTGAACTATTATTGTAAGTTATTTTGTTAGATTAGCTCCCGATTTAGCCTCAGTACTGACTAAACTATTGTATATGCACAATATAATATTGTAAAGCATCCTATAGAAAATATTAATCAAAATGAGGGATTTGCTGAGCACTGTTACCCACCAAAAAATGTTGCTCCGGAATACCATTGGCAATAGCCAAAAACACATTGTACAGGTCCAAATGATCATGCGCACAAAAACATTGTAATAATGTACAGATCATATTTCATGAAGCTATTCTGTACATTCCCCACTGTCAATACAGTCAAGCCTAAAATAATTCAAACCCCTGGTAAGTTCTGACTTTTTTTTCCAACAATTATTGCTCTTGTACATCATCTTAATATCTTTTTGGAGAAGCCGGTGTCATTTCCACTCACAAAACTTGCTGGTTGAATAAAAGTAACTTTAAGTGAAAAATTGCCAGGGGGATGAATAATTTCAGGCTTGACTGTTTCTATATATAACTCCATTTTTGATTAATAATATGCTTTGCAAAGAACTTAATAGTCCTAAAATTGACCCCTTTAGTACCTAATTTAGCTTCCACACCAATTGATGGTAATCTTCTGATTATTATAAATGCTTAATTAATTTGCCTTCTGCTACTTTAAATGCTTGAAGTTGGGTGGATCTTGATTAGTGGCCAATTACTTTCATTTGTCAGTTGAACAATTGTATTTAAAATGATAACAACAAAACTGCTCATTATAGTTATATAACTTTAAACTGGTCCTTGGTGTGAATGATACTTAAATGTGGTAAAGATTTTTAACGTAAGACATGTTGCTCTTTCATCCATTTGTTTGCACTCTTCACATTAGTTTTTGTCATTGTTGCTTTCCTCCTGTTGGAACAGTCTGCGGTGCACACCTGACAACAGGTTGAGCAGCTTTCAAACCAGTTTCACAACAAACCAGTGTCAGTGTGTACACACTTCAAACAGTTAAATTGCATGCCAACAACATCCTCAGCCAACAGTGTGTTTTTTGTTTACAAGGATATGTAGATGCAATGAGCGACTGTAAATGAATCCCATTTCTGTGTGGTCCCCATGCACATATTTTACAAGAAATAAGACGTGCATCTTGGCTGTTGGATAAATGAGTTTTGGATGGATGAGTCCTGGCACCACAATTAGTCATGCCAAGTTTCCAGTGCCGCTCATCTAGCGTGGGCACACTCTGGGGTTCGCCTCTATTAATTTCTTGGTGGGATAAGGCGTTTTACACCTCAGGAGGAACGAAGTGTTATTACCATGCGCACAAGACTTTTTGGTAGCCCATTAATCTTGTTGGTTCATGTCAAAGGTTTGTGTATTAGTTCTCGGAGGGGATCTTCGGGGGTGAGGTGAAGGTTTCTGGCAGTTGTCATGGAGACCCCTTTTCATTAGGGATCTGATGGCATCCATCTTGTTTTAGAGTCTTTGAGGGCAGTTTAGAACATTATTACAGAGTGCTTAATTCAGTTTGGGATCAGGGAAGCACGACGAATGGAAGTAGATACTTTGCTTATTGGCTCCCTTTGGTCTTCCATTACCGTCAGAAGCAACAAATGTCAGCGCGGCGGCAAAGAGTAAGTCCCGCACAAAGGCGTGATAATGTAGTTTCTTCCTTTTTTCATCCCGGCGAACAATGCACTTCTATGCCAACAGGTTCCCAAGAACAAAAGACCTCAGTGTGTGCATTGTGCAAAAGAGAGAAGAATGAAACGAACACCTTCAGAAGAAACCTTTCTCTGTCTTCCCCTCTGACACTCACCCACACCCACGTCCAGCATGCAAGGAGGACTAAAATTGCTAGCCTTTGAATGAGTGCCCTTTCCCCACTCCCCTCCTTCTTCTTCTTTTTTCTCCCCTTGTGTATTCAGAGCTCCGTCTCAAGCCTTTGTTCTGGTGGCTTTAGTGATTGGATGCCATAAAGCCCTCTGTCTCTTACACTTTCATTGTTTATGAGGGTCGGCAGAGTGGAGTGTAGATCTGGAAGAGCGTTTTTCTCTGAGTGTGTTGATGGAAAAAGTTCCCTCAATTTATCTTTGTCTAACATGGTTTGCAGACTACATCATCGCCCCATCACTCTGAAGCAATTCTGAGTTTTTTTTGTAATGCAGATTATACAGCGGGGAAAAATAAGTATCGAGCAGATCAACATTTTTTTTAGAAAACACATTTCTAAAGGTGCCGTTGACTTGAAGTTTTCACCACATGTCTCTAACAACTAAAGTAATTCACCCAGTCCTTAATTTGTGAACTGCAAGGTCCCAGAACAGATAAGGGTAATGTATCTGGCATGCTACCTGAGGTATGAGGGGGGCAGGGGTGTCTCGCGGACGAAAGTGAAGAGGGTTGGGGAGTCCTGGAAGGAAGTGAAAGTGAACAGCGGATGAGTGGAGGAGTGCGGTTGAGCAGGGAGATCGGTAAAATGAGGTGCCGGATCTGATTTTAGAGGTGGCGGATCTGGTGTGTTCTGGCACAAATTAAGCCCTGAATTCACCCATACAAAAAGGACATAAATAATTAATTTAGATGTGCATTGTGTTATAAAATTAAATGACACAGAGAAAAGGTACCGAACAAATGAAGAAAGGAAGGTGTAAAATGACATGGAACGCCCAGACAGTAGATGAAATCTATCGTTATTAGAAAGAAATAACCTAAATAAGGACTAAATGTATGCTGTGTGTAGTTTTTCTGTAATCCTGATTATGGCCCATATCTACTGAGTGATACGGTATGGTTCAGTATGCTTTATTGGCTGTTTCCACTGTCAAAAGGTACCAAAAAGCGAAACGTACTATACCACTTTTTGGGTACATTTTCGAATGTATACCTAGCGCAACAATAAGGTATTAAAAAGGCGAAGCGAGACGTGTAGCTGAACGAAAGAGCTCATGTGCGCATCTATATTTGAAATAACTTCTTGACCTGATAATAATAACATGCACGTGATTATTTCAGAAACGGACAAACGTGGTAATGACGTGCGAAAAAACAAAAGGGCGAATGATTCTTTCAGCAACCTAAAACATGAACAAACTGCCATGTTTAATTATTATCATCACCTTTTGGACTATTATGAAGTTGGAATAAAGGAATTACTTTCTAACAAAAGGTTACATGTGCAAAGATTAAAGACGCAGATGAGAGGTTTGCACTTTAAAGCCAAATAAGGACTAAATGTATGCTGTGTGTAGTTTTTCTGTAATTAGTAATATATTGGACACTGTAAGGTTCTATATGTGTTCATATTTGTTGCATTTATTTATTTATTTATTTATTTTATATAATTGCAGACAACGTTACATTACATTAATATTAGCTGCTTCATTCCCAATACCTACATTATCAGATGATGAAGATGAAACCAAGGTGAACCTTTCAGCAAGACGGTGATCCCAAACACACTCTGGTTTCTAAAAAGAAAATAAAGTTGCTAGAATGGCCCAGCCAATAACCTGACTTGACTCCAATAGAAAATCATAATTTTACAGAAAAGACCCACAAAACCATCAAGATTTTTAGACCGTTACAAAAAATACAAAATTTCTTGATCTATTTCATGTCAACAGCTCCTTTAGATATATATTCACCAGGATAAATCATGACAGTGTCCAATACTGTATATTTGAAAGTCCAGAGAAGCACACCAAACACATGAATCGTTTGATAGGC